AATCGCTATTCTACGCTCCTGTTTGTTCTCGGTTCACCGTCGTGCGCGTTTGAATAAATTAACTTCAAAGCAAGGTAACATAGCCTCAAAATGTAACGGTAAATTGTAAACTGTAACACCGCATCGCATCGTCGGATTTATGTCGACGACCCCGAATGGTAGGTGATGCACTATCCATAGCATATTTTTACTATTGAATTTAAAAATCTAACTACGACAAAATTACGAATTGATGTAAATATTTGAGCAACTTGCAATGCACATTTTCGATAAAATTTCGAACTTTGGCTTACACATTCACAAAAGCAATTACATCTGTGTATAGCACTGGAGCACCCAAGAAGTTTCTAAAAAGCAGTTACTATTCTACGTATTGATTTTGATTAAGCACTACACTTTCATGCGTTTTTTTTTTTCATTTTTGGAATCATTTGGTCAGTCCCGATTTTAATAATCAAGAGCACCTGATGAGTGTAAGGAAGATGTAAGTGCAGATGCTAAACTATCTGCTGACGATCTAGAAAATTTATACAATGTAATGTACTTATAAAAGTATGCCTACAAAGACTTTATCGACTCCCGCGTAAAAAATGGTTTCGGATTTTTTCCAGTGCTACTTTCGTTGGAAAAAGTACCATGGGACTGAAGCTATTTCGAAGTAGGCTTTCCCAAAATATTCCGATTAGTTTTATCGATTTCTTCTCGGATTGTTTCTTTGTCTCCCTTGGCCTTACCTTGGATGAATACGGAACAGTTGGCAGGACATTCGAGGACGTATAATTGGATAAGATCTAAAGTGGTATAATCGTAAATTCAAGATGCAAAAATTTATCGATGTAGCTGTTCATAAAAATAAACTCAAGAGTCATATAGAAAGCTATCTACACCATCGTTAATTATTGAACAACTAACAAAAATAGGGCTATCACTCCCTCTCTCTTTCTCTTATAGCAAATTAGGCCATCCTTGGTGGGCTGGGTGGGTTGTATGGACGAAGGATGACTGCGAAAATTTGCAAAAAGGATCCTAACCAATATTATAAATGCGAATGTGTTTGTTTGTTCGTCGACTTTTCACGTCTGAACTACTCAATCGATTATTATGAAATTTTTTAGATACATTATTAGGGGTACAGAAAAGGACATAGGGTACCTGAGGGACAGCAAAAAAATTAGTCTTATGTGGTCAATTTCACGCCAAACTACTCAATCGATCAACATGAAATTTTGTAGAAACATTGTCAGGGGTACAGAAAAGAGTATAGGGTACCTTTCATAAAAAAAAACATATTGTTCTCGAGGTATAGATATATTAGTTTTATGTGGTTGTTGATGATCTTTGACACGTATTTAGGACATCAACGCAAGTCGTGGGTAAAATCTGGTATATATATTTAAATACAGGGTGTTCCAGCTAAAGTGGTTTTGTCCATAACTCATATGACTCATATTAAAAGATACCGTTCGATGAGAAATTAAAAGCCCTTTCTACTGATAAAAGGTTTTAAATATGTATAAACTAATCGATTTTTTCTGGAAAACTGTCAAAGGTAAAAATGTAAAATCTTCTAAGAGTAGAAAGGGCTTTTAATTTTGCATCGAACGGTATCGTCTTTTAATATGTATATCAAACTGAATGGAATAAACCCAAATTAAAAAACTACAGGTATATTGTGTTTGTAGAAAGATATTAATATAAATCCTAGATTTCACTTCTGTAGCGCTGTTTTGACTGCTACGACGAATACCACTTTGAATCATCAGTAGTTTCTTTTAGCAGACCTAAGATATGTATAATTTATAACGTTAAACATTACTCTCCAGCTTGGTAAGTTGTTGCGTCGCTATGTAATAGCAATAAAGGTACGTATTGATAAAAAACAAATCTATATTTGTTTTTTTGCAGTATCTATGGGAGCGTTAGCAACATAAAATATTAAAAATCCTCTGAATTATTCACAACTATAGTTTCTGTACAAAGTCTCTTTACCAGGAAATAAAATAAATTTTTAAGATTGCTTCAGTTATTTATGAATTAGCAAGTCACAAGTACTAATCTAGACACTGGAATTTACAAGTATAAAAAGATGTACAGTTAACTTTTTTGAACTTTGAATTTTAACATTAAAAGCTTTTTAAATTTACATTTTTAAACTCAATCAAAAACTTTTGTTAGAGAAAATAGAACTTTCACCACCCACAAAAATAATATCTAAAAATAATATACATTTACAGATCCCACTTTTTCCTCGAGAGATTGCTTTTTATTTTTCCTAGAAGAACATTTCAATAGATTTCCCTGATTAGTTTTTCTGCTTTTTAATATTTCAGACATGGAATGCGCTCGGAGTTTATTAAAAACAACTTTTCTAGTGATTTACTTCTCATCGTTATTTCCGTTAATCCGATTTTTCTTTTTTAAGGCTCCAAACTTTCTTTTTTCTTTTACTTCGTTGAATCTGCTTGGTTTCTCTTCTAAATGAGTTTAATTACATTTATAAACTAACTGCCCAACAAAAAAAATCTGAATTATTCGATACTGATTATAAAGGTTGAAGTATTTTTATGTTACAAAATAATTCGAAGTGGTCTGTATTTTGTCGGAACTGCCAGACGCGGATCGCGATTTCGATCTTTTTGGATCTCATCAGCGCGTCGCAGTTACGCAGATACGCACTGTTAAGACAGCAGGTAAAAGTTGGTCTGTGTTCTGTCGGAGCTGTCTGCGACGCGCTGATGAGATCCAAAAAGACCGAAATCGCAATCCGCATCTGGTAGTTCCGACAGAATACAGACCACTTCGAATTATTTTATTCGATTATGGTAACGTGCCTATCACGTTGAGGTTAGCTACGCCGTGGTTCGTTTCAGCAAGTAGATATTCATATATTTAAATGGACCTTGTTGGAGCATACGTAATCCTAAAATGTAGCATCGTACTACAGATGGCGTTTACCGCGCCATTTGTGGTATTTTCTAAAACGCACTATCTTTATGTTACTTCAACCCAACCAAATTTGGACGAATGGAACCGTCGTCTAAGGTTCTTATCTACACGTCAAACATATGAAGTTAAAATGTACGCTTCAGAATAAACATCGACTACACACATTCAAATCCGCCCACTTTAGTTCCAGTTCGAATAGACAAGATGAACGTTTCTAAATTAAAAATTCTTATTAAATGATAATATCCTCGATTTCGAAACTAGACCTAAGGAACCCTTCCCCTTTAAAATAGATGTTTTAATTTCAAAACATGTTTCATTACTTTCAGCCACTAAAGCTTGTGAGCTGGCAGTCCCTCCGGGCTATGCCCCAAAGTTGGGCTGGAAGGCCCTCTTCAGCCTCGGGTGGTGGTTCGGGTGAGAAAGGTGAGACGGACGAAATGAAGACAGAAGACAATGAAAGATTATCTGTGGAATATTACTGCCCCAACATTTGCTTAAGTGATCTAAGGAAACCACAGAAAAACTTGGACCAAGGCAGACGGACCCGGAATCGAACCGGCGTCCTTCCGAATGCTAAGCAATGGTCTATAAACCACCAGACCATGCTGCTCGGTGTGTATAGATAGAAATTTTTTGAAGTATTTATAGGACAAGGTTGTTAGTAAATTTGATAGAATTTTCTAGAAGAAAAGTAATGTTAGTGAGGGGTGAAGACACTGGTTTATAGAAATACGTAGAATTGAACAGTATAGAATTCAAGAGAAAGCAATTAAGGGTAAAAACAGATATTAGTATGAGAATGCTTGCAGGTATGGTTGAAGTTGGATTTCCAGGTAAAAGTGATTGAGAGAACAATAGAGTTTAGATTCAAAGGAAACCAAGGTATGCACAACTAACTCGTGCTATTTGTACACTAGTAAAATAAATCCGGCTTATCCCACTAGTAGAACTCTAGGTAAAACGGTTGTCAATAACACATTAAATAATAGACTAGACAAGTTTAAAGTTGCTGTTTATAATACTAGATCTCTTGCGGCAATTCCGTGGCAATTTATGTTGGACAACCTACATTATGAGTCGATTCTCAGAACATGTCCGCTGGATTAAATACAACAAGCACACCATCAGGTTAACTCCCCATTGTATACAAAAGAATCACATTTTTAAAGCTAATAACTTCAAATTATTATCCCGATAAAAAGGAGCCGATACTCTAGATAGATATGGAATCCTAGAAATAAAGTTTCAACATACGACTAACTACATTTTAGAAATACCCCCTCCTTAATTACATTATCTGGATTGCTTTGAGCCGATCCTATGTGTAAGTTCGGAAACGTTCCATCAATAAAGTGAATATACATTCAGTTTTTTTCATTAAATTGTAAATGAATCCGAAAGTTTTCTTCCTCTGGTCTTTTTATGAACTTCAAGAATTCTTGGCAACTCTTGTTATAAAAAATAGAGACTACTGATGAAACCAATTGGGAAAAAATTCCATTCTACGAGAAATTAGTAGATGTAGATATACGTATACAACGCTATTTCTGCATTAGCAAAATAAATCTGGCTTATTCCACTAATAGAACTCTAGATAAAACTGTAAAAACACATTAAAAAATAGACTAGACAAGTTAAAAGTTGCTGTTTATAATACTAGATTTCTTGCGGCAATTCCGTAGCAATTTATGTTGGACAACCCACATTATAAGTCGATTCTCAGAACATGTCCGCAGGATTAAATACAACAAGCACACCATCGGGTTGTATCATTGTATACAAGAGAATCACATTTTTAATAACTTCAAGTTATTATCTCGATAAAAAGCAGCCAGTATTCTAGATACGGCATACGGTCAACTGCACTTCAAAAATAACTCCCTATTACATTGTGGATTGCTTTGAACCGATCCTATGTGTAAGTAAAAAGTTTCCCCAAATTGTGGAAGAATCAAAAAGTTTTTGTTTATCTTAATAAATTCATATTCGTCGTTATCCATTCCCCTTGAACCTGTTAAATTAATACACATAAATATTACTTTTCTTCTTACCTTTAAATCTCGATGTACTATATTACGACTATGGCAGTATTCTACCGCTGACAGAATTTGCCAAAATGTTCTTCTTGCTGTTTCTTCAGTCATTCTTCCATATCTGGCGATATAATCTGAAATAAAAAACAAATTAAAAATTAATTATGTATATTTTAAACAATTTTTCCATCAATTAAACAAGTTACAATTTTCAAATTGTTAGCGTAGCCTATCGAAAATTGATTGGCCCGGTCACACATTCGAAACATCCACCTTACTTCCTTAACTGAACAAGAAGGTATACTTCGTTTACTTTCTGTAGCGACGTGACCTTCAGTTTGACCGGCGCAAAGTAGAAAAGAACAGCACTAGGCCAGAAAAGGAAGGAGACAACTCTCGGCCAAACTCTTAACCGGTGAGGAGCGTATAATCCGTACAGTACTGCACGGAAAAATTGACCATTTTATCCACTACAATTGCATTGCTCAAATGTGCTGTTATTGGTACCATTTACTACTGAAAATATCAACGAGATGTTTATTTATATTTGAAGACATATTAAAGGCTTTAACGCTTGTTTTCGACTCGCACTACTATTCATGATTGAACAAAACTTTTGGCAGGTACTGTATGAAAAAGTATGTTTAATGAACAAGAGTGGAGAGTATAATGAGCTTTTTTCTCCCTACCTACGATTTTACCAGCACGCATCCAAGGCATTGGAAGGGGCACATTGCTAGAGAAAGTAAATGAAGTATAGAGGATGCATCTTGCAATAAAGAATGCCTTTAAATTCTACTGAACTATTTTTAAAGAAGTCACATCTAGTCAGTGAACATGTGCACTCATCACCAGAAGAGGCCTGCAGGAGTGGCTTTGACCGCTGGCACACACGGCAACTTATGGGAGCCATTATTCGGCTACTTTTCCGATGAAAACTTAACATCTGTCGCTGATCAAAGTTTGAAGTAGGCCTGTCACCTTTCAAAAATTGATAAGTACGAGGGCGGATTTTTAAGAGGAAGTGACCTCATTCGAATCTCAACATGTTGACTGACTCACCGTTAGTATAAGTACCGAGTTTTATTACAATAGGTGCCGCCTGAAGATGCTGGGTGTCTTTTGAAGAGTTCCCTCTTCCACGAAAACATAAAAAAGAAAACAGATAGGTGCATTAAGCTCTGAGCTATCGGCAATTATTAAATTTTTTCCTAAGCGAGGAAAGAACAGAAATGGTTGACGTATTCGATACAAGTATTTTTAAAATTCTTTATGACCATGTTGGTATGACTAAGGTTAATGCAAAATGGGTATCAAGAATGCTTACTCCACCCCAAAAGCTCTACCGGAGATCTAGAAGGAATACTGAGACGAATTGTGACTGGTGATGAAACGTGGGTTCATCATCGTGAACTTGAATTTAAACAAGACCCTATGCTATAGCACACCACCGCTGGTGTTACAGTCGGCGGGAACAATCAAGCCTATTGTTTTTTGGGATACTGCAAATATCCTGCTGATTAACTTTAAGGGAAAGGTCGTTAATATCAGTGAAGAATACTACGCTTCAATCCTAGAGCAACTGTGGGAAGCAATCAAAAAGAAACGCCAAGGAAAATTGACAAAAGGTGCCTTGCTCTTGCACGACAATGCGCTCGTTCATAAGAGCTTCGAAGTCATTGATCACCCACTTTACAGCCTGGACCTGCCCCCCTGTGATTTTTATCTGTTTCCAAAAATGAAAAAAGAGCTTTTTGGGAAGAAATTTTCAAGCGACGATGAAATGAAGTGATGTGTTTTAAAGACAAACCTGAATTTCGACAGTATTACGTACCTACGACTGAATATACTTTAATTAGAAAGAAGCTATAAATAAATATAATTCAAAATTAATGGACATATGTATTAAATAAACATTTAACTTCATTTTCTTATGTATTTGCTATTCCAGGTTTAAGTACATATGGAAACTTTTTAAAATTATTACGCATCTAATCGTGAATGTACATATTTCATTTGTTTAAATTTACGAAACGTATTAACATGTTTAAACAAGATCATGTTTATTAACTTCGTACCGCTCTCAGTGGTTTATGTACATAATACTTCATTGTGTTATATAGATTTTTCAATTACAATTTTTGCTTCCTAAAATGCGAACAATGCACTAGCACATCATTTTCGTTGTAAAATTAAATTAAATGATCCATCAGTTTATTTTAACAACTTCACAAGCACAAATAATTCTTGTTATCATCAAACTGAAATTAGAAACACATTAAATAATCGTTATTGTAGGCTGATCACCTGGATGAAACATTAAAAAAAAAAAAACAATAAATAACGCTCAACAAGTCTAATAAAAAAACAATAAAACCGTGAAATGTACCAAATTTTGTAAATACAACCACCAACGCACCGGAAAAATTATTTTTTGTCACTGTTCCATTGGATGTCAGAATGCGGAAGAAGTAGATGAAATTTATGAAGAGTTGATTCATTTGGAGATTAATGTCGCGTGTTTTTCGTTGTGAAGATTACTTTGACGCAGGTATATTGTTTACTACCTATGCTTTCATTTTTAGTACGCGGGCAAGCAATTTTTATTTTATTAAAATATATAATACACTCCGCTTTTTCGCACCTTTATGCAATTTTTTCATCATGTTACTACCGATGTTTTTTAAAACACACACGTATTTATATCAAGCCTGTACTATTTTTCGTAATAATCACGTTGAGGAAGTGGCCAGAAATAGTTTTTTTAAAAAATAATCTATCGCGACTGGATTTAAGTATTACCTATATACGTATTTAGCCAAAAAATACAGTATCAAAAACCTGCCATTTTTGTAAGATAAAGCAAAAAAAACTAATCTTTAAATCTGGAAGATACACATATCGAAACCAGAAAAAAGAAAAACATTAAACAGCTAAGAGTTTCACAGAATGGAAATAAATTGTACAACCGAACAACGAAATAAAAATTTTGACGAAATAATTAAACAAAGTATCAATTCATTCACAAATAAACAATTGAACCAACACGATCTCGTTTCTGTCAGTTAGGTATGTATAGATCTGGTTATTCTTCTTTGATATATCGACATAGTGTGTAAATTACAAATTCTAGGAACTGTTGTGATATAAGAAATTACTAATTATTTTAAGACAATCCTGTTCATTTCAGCCCCTAGACATTCATCTACAATCAGCTAAAGATGGTCCTGCTAGAAAAATTAAAAATCAAGGTAAAAGTCTAGATGATAGCCCCCATGGTGATGGTGGGGGTGGGGGGATCGAAAAAAGAGGTCTCCCCCACCACTGTACCATAAAAAGTTCGTGGCGGTCTCACCCCCATAAAAAGTTATGGGGGTTCAAAGTTAATGAATATGCCAATTTTTATACATTTCTAGGCATGTAAATATTGATATAGTCATTCTTAAACAATATTCAAAGGTAAAACTAACGAAAAATACGAGGGTGGATTGATAAGTTTCCGGCCTAACCAAGAGATGACGCCACTAGGCCTACCTTGAGGTGACATTCTATAGTACCATCCTTGGATAGCTTGTAGCTATAGTTTCAGCCCGATCTCCTTGCTAGTGTAGGTTTGACAGCACG